CAGCCGCGACGAGCGCGTCGCCGCCCGCGCCCACACCAGGGCTTTTGCAGCCAGGCTGCCCTTTGGGCCGGCAGTCATCTGTGCAGCTGCCTGCCAGGCCGCAGTTGCCGTTGGCGGTGGTGTGGTCACCGCAGCTGCGGTCCTCGTCACTTGTCGCACCGCAGCCGTGATGCAGATGGGCGTGGCTAACATCGCTGCCGCTGGCGCGGCTGCTGCTGCTGTCATTGCTGCTGCTGCTGCTGTCGTTGCTGCTGCTGCTGCTGCTGCTGCTGCTGCTGCTGCTGCTGCTGCTGTTGCTGCTGCTGCTGTCTGCAAGCACATCGCCTGGAGGTCTGTCCTTCGTCAAAGGACCCCCGCCTGCGGCCACGCCTGGCTGCCAGCGCCGCAGCAGCACCGTCAGGCGTGGTGGGTCGGCGGCGCGCAGCGTACGGAGCGGCGGCAGCGGCACTTGCAGCAGCACATGTGCCGCGTGTGCCGCAGCGGCCGCCGCCGCGCGCTTGGCCAGCTGCGCGGGGGACACGAGCGACACGTCTGCCATAGGAGCAGCAGCGGCGGCCCCGGGAGTAGAGAGCGCAGCGCGAAGGCCGCTTCCCTCTCGTGCCAAGCGCTGAGCGAGGGCCAGCGGCATGCACACATCAACGCTGGCCGGCAGCGGCAAGAGGGCTGGCTGCAGTGCAGCGCCTGGAGCGGGCTGCTCGCCGATGCAGACGGCGCAAGGCACAGGGTAAGGCTGCGGTCCGTGCGATGGAGCGCCGGTGGGGGCTGCGGGCGCTGTGTGTGCCATGGCCAGAGCCTCATCGCAAATCACCGGTGCAAGCAGCCTGGCGCCGGCGCGTCCGGAGGGACCTGGGCTGGAGACCCGGCTGCTTTGAGGGATCAAGCCGTAAAACTCCATTATGTTAGTGCACAAAATATTCTGAACTGTGCTGTAAACAGAAGCGTGCACATCGCGCCACTTGTGGCGCCAGCTGAGATCAGGCTGCGACCTGGCAACAAGAGTGATGCGAATTTGGGAGAGGATTCTCCTAAATATGCCAGGCGGATCACATCAGGTATCGGCGGAGAATGAGATCACGCTGTAACTTCGACGGGCCGTGTCGTGCACAATCGACGTGGTTCTGGACCCGTAAAAACATATGTTTTGATGATCAGATGTCTCAGATGCGGCTGAATGCGCGCCGTGAAGGGGATCCACCAACAAGGAGTTGGCGGGAACTCTTCTCAACCTCCACAACTACCAGTGGCAGTGCCAACGCGCTGCAGGACGCTTCACTCCCTTGCAAGCACGGCATTGGACATACGTCATCTTTTCAAATGTGCTGCATCACTCACCAATCGGGCTCACCAGAGGGTCAGCAGGGTGGCGTACCCCCCAACGCACTAATCACAACGAGCAAGGTCTGCCGGGTGCCAGGACTAAACACGCTGGGGGCTTTGATGTACAAGCGCTGACATTGTGGACAGCAGCGCAGCGACACCACTTTATGGCGTGCAAAAGGACCGAGGCCGCCCGCAACAGAAGCACTCGTCAGCATCAGCCCCACGCCATATGAGAGCGCTGTACTCTCCGCCATTTGCCTGCCCGCCGGGCACGAATGCCCATGAGGAAAGGTCTCCGGGACCTGTGAAAGGATGCAAGGCTGTACACTCTACCCTCCTGGTCCCCACACTGGATCAAGAAGCTGGATACGGTCGCTCCTGTCACAATAGGATAATAGAGCTTGAGCAAAACCTCAACAAATTACACCCTTCAGGAAGTACCTGCTCCCAGTTGCTGTCCCATCAGCAGGCTTCAAACAAGGCGACATTCTGCAAAGAAAGAGCGGAAGAAGCTTTCCTTCAAAGGATAGGCTCATTGTGTACACTATCTGGGCGCGATGTATTGCGTGTGCATGTGCTGTGGCAGCAACCACGTACAGGGCCGCTGTCCGTGAAGATATTGGCCCGTGACATCACCAACAAGTGGGGTGGGGGGCGCCTCCCAATTCTTGGATGATTGTAAGCGCCCGGCACCGCACAGCAGGCGCCAGCTGCCTGAAAATCCACGCAGCAAATTGTAGACGGGTCATTTGAATGAGTGGCTGGCTGCGGCTGCGCGACCTGTCACTGGCGCCTGCAGCTGCCGCACGTGAACACCGTGTTGCCCGGCCCGCCGTTGGGCGAACGGCGGAGCCTGCTGTTATGAAATGCCCGCGTGTGCGAGTGCTGCACCAGCATGCCAAGCCCAGCCGAGTGGTCAATCAGGGTCCGCTCTGCAAAGAGATTCCTTGACTATGTAGAAAGATGGCTGCATAGGAAGTTGAGGGCAGCGGCAACCAGCGGGCCAGGAAAGGCAGAGAGCAGCGTGCGTGCGCATGGGCATCGGCACTGGTGAGGCGCCCGTTTGCTTGTAACGCTGCCTGGGTATATCGACATAACGGTGCCTCCGGGGTTTTGGGGGAAGTGGGGTGCAACTGTGCGTGGCTTGGTTTGGCGCAGGGCCTGCACACTTGCGTGCATTGGTGGCGGTTGAACAGTACCCGTCCCAGGTAAGCAAACCGTTGCGTGCTTGCCACGTGTATGTTCATTTGAGGATGCGTGACAGGTGCCGCCAATGTCAGCAGTGGCGTGGGTGCTGTGCAGACCCCAGAGATGCTTGGAAGGAGTGGCAGGGTGAGGCATACACAGCGAGGCAGACCGATCAAAACGAGACGCAAGAAGTAGTCCGCGTGCAAAATGCGCACTGCCCGCATCACAAGACAAGCCTGGGCGGTGCGCAACTGGTCACAAGGTGTGCGGAGCACAACGGGTGTCCAGCCGCAAGCTGTGACACCACGGCCGCAGCTGCGGCTGGCTCAGGAGAGGCGGCGCCCAGCACTGGATTGCACTTTGGGGGCCGCGCTGTTGAGAGGGGCCGCAGGGGCGGGGCCTATGCACCACTTGAATAAGCAGAAGGGCAACCGTGGGGAGGTCTTTGGGCAGACTCCAGCAGAGTTTGCAGAGGAGCACTCCGCTCGAAAAGCGTCCAGGCTTGTGCGCTGTGGCCGGCATCCAATTGGGGTGTGTAGTGGTGTGGAGGGGGGGGAGAGCAGGATGAGCGTATGGGTGGCCGAGTGGGCAGTTGTGGTGCTGCAGCTCGCAGGTGTTGCGCGGCGCTACGTGCGGGCTAGCTGACCGGCTGGTTGGCTGTTGGGCGAGCGAGCAGACAACAGCCTATGCGCACGCAGCGCCAGGAATCCGAGCAGACTGCACTGTGGCGACCTCTGTTCAGGGCGCGCCGCTTGTCACGTCGCGGGTGCTATGCAGCAGGCCTATTGCATCAATGGTCTTTCATAGCGGCGTGCCGCGCAAACCTTGTATATGCTCTTGATCCCGTAGGTCCCCTGGCACTTGCATGCTGCTGAGAAGGACGAGGAGTAAGCACTGCTGGTGATGCCATACTCGACCTGCCATACTGGCCGATTCACTGCGCATGCGCGAGGGCGTGTGTATTTGTGCTTGTGAACAATGTGTAAGCGTGCGCGCATGTATCTCTGTTTGCTTATGTCTGTGTGCATGTGTGATTTTGTCTGTGTGTTAGGCAATGCGTGTGTGTGCGTGTGTGTGTGCATGTGTTCGTGTGAAAAGCCAGCGACAACAAATAATAGAGCCCCCTGCATGGGCTCATGGGCCGGCTGCAGATTGATTGCCTGCCCAACAGCGGCCAAAGCGTGATTGCTGATGCTGATAAGCAGTGCATCACTGGGCGGCTGGTGTCGCGACTGATAGCTCACACAGCTTGGCGGGGCTGTAGATGTTGCACTCATTATACTTCATGCAGGACCTAGATAGGGGTTGAGCGGGAAAGACCTCCGTCAGCACCTATGGCACATACGACTTGTTGTCCTTCTTTAATGTTTTGGGTGTGTTTTTTAGCCGTGCCAGTGAGTCAGTTTCTCACATTGCCCATCAGGCCGTTTGCCTGGTTACAGGCAGGCTTGCTTTTCAAAATGCATATTACTCACTCGTTGATGTAAAAGTCAAAGGAGGATAGCAGCTGCTTCACTTGGCCGAGGTCATTCATCAGCCCAGCAGCCAGGCCCAGCTTGTGTGCCGCGTCCGCCAGGAACGAGTTGTAGCTGAGCTGATCGGCCGCAGTGAGGCCCATGCCGTTGTCGTTGATGTAGGCGTCCAGGCCTTCCGGCACGGCCGCCACAAAGCCCTTCGACTTGCACAGCTCCAGGCGCTGGGGGCGGCATAGGGGATGGTGACATCAGCAAGGTCGGGGGAACGAAGGATGGGGCGCAGCGGCAGCCTCTGGAGCTGGTGGACGCCGTTTGCACACATGTCCGTTTGCACACGTAAGCATATGCTCATAGGGTTTAGGATTCGCATATGTCCAGAATTGGGGCTGTGGGCATGCTGCAACGTGATAATCTTAGTTTTGCAGCCTCTCCCACATTGCGGTGAGACAGAACCGCCAGCGCTCCCACCCTCCTCGCCATCAATGCCCGTGCCTCACCTTTTGCATGATGGAGCGCACATTTGTTGCTCTTATATCCAGCCAGCTATTTTTAGGGTGGTCTGCGGCAGTGAACAAGCCAGAGTCCGGCTGCCCATCCTCATAGGTCCCCGCATTGAATTGGCAGACCGCGTAGCCTCCCTTGGCTGCGATGGCGGCTGTGGTGGCGGCGCTGTTGAGGAAGAGATCAATGACGTAAACCTTGGCAGTGGAAACCCACATTGTGGCGGGGATGAACTCTGCTGACGTCATGTACTGCCACCCCAGGTTGTCGGAGGCCTTGGGCCGCCACCAGGAGGAGGTGGCGATGGGGCCCAGGTTGGGCACCGAGGATGGAGAGGGCAGGGGCTTTGGGCTCGGCGGGAGGGAGAGCCACGGGTTGTTCGGACACCGCGTGAAAGGCAGAGCCTTGAGCTTTTGGTTCTGTGGTGAGGTTGAGGGTTTGGGGCGCAGCATGAGGGACTGGGCCATTCCAAGTTTCGGGCCAGGCGCGTGGCAACATACAAGGGCCAGCAGTCTTGCAGGTTGCTGCGCTGGTCTTGACTGCGGCACAACCCGCACCTTGAGGGAGGTGTGGATGCCCATGGCGGCCTGCTGAGGGCAGCCCTTCGCAAAGTTTTTGGCTAAGTACTCAATATTGTAGACAGGCTTGCCGGCTGCCTTGGCGGGCGCGTACGTACCGCATTCGTCGAACTCGTGACATTGCCTGATTGCATGTGTGTGCATTTGTGTGCACGCGCACATGTTTGTTATTGCGGGTTCATGCGTGCATGGATGTGTTTGTGTGTGTACATGTGTGTTTTCGTTGACGTGTGTGCATACACGCACGCGCCCACACGTGCGTGCGTGCGTGCGTGCGTGTGTGTGTGTGCGCGCGTGTGTGTACGTGCACAACTGACTTTCTTCAGCAATTGTGTTGGCCCGCACAACTGGGTGGCCTGGTGGGCCGCCCATGCCGCCCGTTCTCCCAGCCCCAGAGCCTTCACAGCACACTCCTGCTCCCAGGCTCTTCATCCCTTGCCCCGGCCCCCGTGCGGCCGCTCACTCGTTGACAAAAAAGTCAAACACGTCCACCAGCTGCGCGATCTGGTCGTTGTCATTCTTCAGCCCCACGGCCACGCCCTGCTTGTGCGCCTCGCCTGCAAGGAAGCGGTTGAAGTCAAGCTGGTCGGCGGCGGTTAGGCCCTTGCCGTTCACATTCGAGTAGCCGTCCACATTGTCAGGATCGACTGCCAAAAAGCCCTTGGACTTGCACATGGCGATTCTCTGACGTCATGCGTGGTGGTTGGGCGGACGGGGGAGGGTTCCTGAGCGACCTCGCGTTGCCATGTATTGCGCTGCAGCGGCAACATCCAGTGCAGCGCTTGCACCTTGGTGCAGCAGCTATCGCCTACGCACCGCCTGCACTGACCGCGCCTGCCTGAGCCACGGCACGCACTCCTGACCTCTAAGCTGTGCGCGGGCCGGGCATCCTGCGCCGCGCCGCTCTCACCTGCTGCATGATCCTCCTGACGTTGGAGGACCTGATATCAAGCCACCACTCCCCAGGCCAGTCGCCCATGGCGGTGCCGATGTCGCTGGGCAGGAACTGGGGCGCGTCAGGGCGCCAGTCCTCATAGGTGCCTCCGCTGCAAAAGCGGGTGGCAAATTTTGTTGTGGAAGGTGCAAGGGCACACACGAGATGCGAAGCGCGTGCCGTCCAGCAGTAGAGTGCCCTGGCTTGTGCTTGTAATGGCCAAGCCAGGGTGCACGCTCAAATGGCGCAAGCGGTGCCGACGTTATGTCTGCAGCAGCTGTGTTGGAGAGCTGCTTGTAGGCTGGATCATGCAGTGGGTTTGGGAGGCTGCACCGTGCACACCTGAAGTAGCAGATTGGGTAGGCCCCTTGGCTGACTAGCCACGCGACAGTTGATGCCGGCGTGTCCCAACCATCCAGAGCATACACCTGCAGTAAGTTGCAGCACGAGCCCAGTGCCGCTTAACGGTGCGAGGACACGCCAAGGAGCCACCACGTGGGAGCCACCCGCCGCGCTCTTCGCGTCTGTCGATGCACTGCTGGACGCACACTGCAATAGGCAATGACCGCACAGGCAGCGGCGAGGCTGATCTTCACCTTGACGCCGGAAATGAGGTGATCGGGCACTCTAAATAGCTCTCCGAGCTGGTATTGTGCGTTCCCGTCGGCCAGGCTTGGTTGCCACCACGCCTTGGCAGCTGAAGCCGGAGCAAGGACTAGGGCTATCGAAACAGCAGTTATGAGCAGTTCAAAAGCCTTCATCACTTAGGAGGTTGCTCGTAGAGGCCAAAATGAGCCGGAACTCCCGGCAGGAGGTTGGTTGGTTCCAAGCGGGAGCTCCCTCGAACCGCAGCTCGCTTTAAGATATGTTCAACACAAAACACGGCAGCTATTGAGAACAATGGGCATTGGATTGCTCGTGAAAGTGTCACGTCGATGCCTCCAGTGCCCGCCCCCCGACTTCTCACACCCGCGGAACAGCACCCCCGCTGGGAATGGAGGTACCCAGAAAACATCCGCAAAATGTACCCACATTATATCTAACGCGCTTGTTGGCACATTCCATGCTGTGCTGCACGATGAGCTGAGCAATGGGCAGCTCGTGGGTTGCTTGGCTAAGCAAGTAGGCATTCCCGGCCCTGCGTAGGAGCTACAGGGCACAGGTACCTGCCAGGATGCTGCCAAAACAGTGATCAAGTCGCATCAATAATACAGTTGCGTGCTGCAAGCGCATGTCCGACCAGGTCTCGAGCCCGGTGCGGCAAGGTTTCGTGCTGGGTGGCACTCTCGCTTGAGAGTGTGGCATAGCAGCCTCGGCCATCACCTTGGGCCGGCGACGAGCTGTGTAGGGGGTCACATTGATGCCAAAATTATCAGAGTGGCCTTGTCAAGCCATACTGATGGCGGATGCACACACCACCCCACACATCGACTGCACTGGGCGTGCGCATCAGACCAGGGGTTGACTGGCTCCCAACGCGAGGCGGCTTGAGGCGGGGGTAATAAACGGCGCCCCTTGCAACGAAGTGCCGTTTCAGGCGCTGGTCACCCATGCGTGCAGCAAGGCTGCTTGGTGTTTTCGATGTGACTCACATCACAAGCACAAACCTTGTTGAGGAGTCGTCCTTAGCAAGCATGCAGTGAGTTTGGTCTTGAAGGTGCTCAGCAACACGTTGCAAGCACAAACAAGGCCAGGTAAGGTTGCCACATTCTTGCCTATGCTCACCAGCTGCTGCATTCACGTAGTCAGGAAGCTTGCCAGCAGCCTGCAGCGTAGGCGCTTGCTCGGCGACCAGGAGGTGATTGCCTTGGTACATTCAAGTGACGCGCCCAGCCCACTGCAAAACAGTGTTATGCACCTATAAAACTGAACGTTTCTCACATCTGCTGTCCACTCTGTCCCTAAAACCTGTGCAAAGAATGTTCCCGCGACCTCACCCCAGCAGGAGCGGGCACACCTGCAGACATCACCGTCATCATTTTCATGCGCGAGCCGAGGTCCTGCTCAAAACTTGCAAAAGGTACGTTGTAACATTCACTTTTATCTCAACGTGTAACAACAGAGACTCTGAGTACTAGATATGAGCTCATAGAGCAGGTCTGATCTTGGGCGGGCTTCGCCGAAGCGCTCAGGTGGGTGGCAAAATGTCCGACGTGCAAGAATCTGATTTAGTGGATACATAGAGGTCCTCAGCCATCCATACAAGTCGTCCCCTCGCACGATTCGCCGTGTCGCCCGCAGCGACACGGACAGGCTTCATCCCGTTCTCGCGTCTGTAGATATCACACATTTCAACACTACGTCCTGCCGGCCCGTTGGGCATCAGCAGCGCAGTAGGCTTCACCTGCAGTCGACGCTCCCGACAGCACGAGCAGTCTATGTGATGACCGTGTCCAATCGCAGCATGGAGGGCGCGCAGCCCTACCTCCTGCCCTTCGCCATCTGCATCGGCACCGACCCCAGCTGCGGCGGGGCAGCGCTGCCGCCCTTCGTGCTGCCGTTGCCGGCCGGTGTCGAGGTGCACGTCCCTGCGACCCTCGCTCAGCGCCTAGTAGATACGGGCTGCGGCCTCTCCGCAACGCTCTCCGCCGACGGCGGCGACGACGACGAAGGCGGCGTCCCCATGCCAGATGTGCCCCTCGCATCCCCGGCGCACCTCGCCGCCCTCGCGGCCGCTGCAGCCGCCGCCCAGCCGGGGCCAGATCACCTGCGACTCTGCCTGCCGCTGCCGCCGCTGCGCGCGCTGCGCGCCGCCGACCCGCCGCGCCTGACTGTCCTGCTGCGGCGCTGGCGGCCTGCTGCAGACGTCGTGGCAGGCGGCCCCTTTGGCAGTAGCCCAGCTGGTGCCGCGCCGGCGGGCAGGAGCCTCGTCGCGGCGC